CAGTATGCAGTCTGACCTCCAGTCTGCAGTCTGACCTCCAGTCTGCAGTCTGACCTCCAGTCTGTAGTCTGACCCTCAGTCTGTAGTCTGACCTCCAGTCTGTAGTCTGACCTCCAGTCTGCAGTCTGACCTACAGTATGCAGTCTGACCTCCAGTCTGCAGTCTGACCTCCAGTTTGTAGTCTGACCTCCAGTTTGCAGTCTGACCTCCAGTCTGTAGTCTGACCCCAGTCTGTAGTCTGACCTCCAGTTTGTAGTCTGACCTCCAGTTTGTAGTCTGACCTCCAGTCTGTAGTCTGACCTCCAGGCCCGGCTTGGCTGGTTTCCGGTCTTGGAATGAGGAAGTAAACAGCCCAGCTAAAATCTAAACGTTAATTTAGATTTTCACAATTTAGAGAGTCAACAAAGATAACTGTTGGTCTCTTTGTGTGGTTTGGTCCGAGTGTGGTTATTTCTTCTGTTATGATGGACGACGTCATTTCCATTTCTGACCTGCCGCTTTGCATTGTGGGAAACCGAATTCGAGAAACACTGGTCTGATGCAGATTGTAATCAATCCATCCACCTATTTTCGTCCGCTTATCCGAGATCGGGTCACCGTGGCAGCAGGCGCGGTAAATCAACCCAGACTTCCGTCTCTCCAGTAATGTTTTCCAGCTCCTCCTCCCGGGGCTTTCTGAGGTGTTCCCAGGTCAGACGGGATATTTAATCCCTAGAATAGTATAGTAGTATAGTGACAATAGTATAGAATAGTATAGCCTCTGAGCAGCGGGCCGTTTACGCGCACACAGCGGTTGTTAGTACGTATTTTCATGGATTCATTCATCTTGATAATTTTGTGGACATATCTTTAAATTGTGTCAACCATCTCACAGTAATTCTACTTTTGGGTCTGTGAAGCGTTAACCTTATATGGGTGAAGCACCTAAGTAGTAGCAGATCTATAAATGGATAGGAGCCAACTATATGTTGTCAACAACTGTTTGACAGAGAGTCTACATCTGATACGTATACAAATCAGTGTCATGTCATCTTTATTGTTTTATAGTGATGTACCCAAATGGAAAGGAATTTGTGGGCTGTACCTTCTAGCAGAATATAAGCCACACTGTGTGATGAAGACTTGGCCATTTTGCCATTTTGCCATTTTTCCTATGATGGCCACTTTGCCAGTGATTGTCAACGGTTGTGAGATTTTGGTCAGCATGGGTCAGCGATGGTATGCACTTTGTCAGCCATGTGTGTTGTGTTTCTGTGTTGTCTGACCATGGCTGAATAAATCTAAGATGATCCACAGTCTGTTTCACGATTTCATAACTGTCCATCTCATACAGAAATAACCCCCACCTAACAGAGGCCGAACGTTGGCTAGCAGTTAGCTTAGAGTGGGTTAACAGTCGACTGACGGGGGGGCTTGTCTCAGCCTTTGTCTTGTTTTGTTTTTTGACTGCTGAACAGGAAGTGTTTTTTTTTTTGAGGTGACAACTAAAAAACAGGAAACTATCTGTGAACTTTTCAAATTAAATCTTTCTTCCACGGCTCTGACTCCTCAGTTTTACACACTTTACAGTATTAGTATATATCAACAGTATTATAGCATACAGTCTGAGTGTACACACACACACACACACACACACACACACACACACACACACACACACACTCATACACACACACATGCAGTACAGCAGAAACCAGTTTCACTTTTTCAGAATAAGAGTTTTGTTCAGCAGGTTTCTTTCAGAATAAAATGGCTTCTTCAGATTAATAATGACACTAACACTGACGTTTAAACTGCAGCAGCTCTGAACACGTTAAAAACACGTTTAAAAACACGCTAAAACTCTGAGGTCATAAATGTGACGCTTCATCTCATCTTCAGTTTAAATTCGCTGATGAAAAATCACTCACTTCCTGTCACGTGATGATGATGTCACAACCTTCACCTGCTTGACTTCAAACTGATGATTCTCCCACAGCCTGTGATGTCATCAGTCCATTTCTATGATGTCATCACTGATGTCATACCGTTCAGTAAGTCAAACAACTTCAGGTTAACTCTAGACACCACGCCGCACACTGCAGGTGTGACTGTATCCAGGTGTTTCCATGACAACGAGGCTGCGTCAGAAGAATTCCGGGTTTTCCAGGATCCTGATAAAAGTCTTTTAAAAATCTGTGAAAAAGGAAGACAGACTTCACACCCACATCTCGTGTGCAATAAACTTCAAGTCATTCATCGGGTCGTGTGCTGTGGTGGATCTGTTGCCGTTAGCAACAACATGCTGTTAACTGATTGGACGAGTGGTGAGTCTTTATTGCGTCTGTAAGTCACACTTCCTGTTTCTCAGCAGCGGGTTCTCCTCCAAAAAGAGAAAAAAAGAATCCTCCATTCTTCTTATCATTTCTACACAGTGTGTGTGTCAGTATTTCTACACAGTGTGTGTGTTAGTATTTCTACACAGTGTGTGTGTCAGTAGTTCTACACAGTGTGTGTGTCAGTATTTCTACACAGTGTGTGTGTGTCAGTATTTCTACACAGTGTGTGTGTCAGTATTTCTACACAGTGTGTGTGTGTCAGTAGTCCTACACAGTGTGTGTGTCAGTATTTCTACACAGTGTGTGTGTCAGTAGTTCTACACAGTGTGTGTGTCAGTATTTCTACACAGTGTGTGTGTTAGTATTTCTACACAGTGTGTGTGTCAGTAGTTCTACACAGTGTGTGTGTCAGTATTTCTACACAGTGTGTGTGTCAGTATTTCTACACAGTGTGTGTGTGTCAGTAGTTCTACACAGTGTGTGTGTCAGTATTTCTACACAGTGTGTGTGTCAGTAGTTCTACACAGTGTGTGTGTCAGTATTTCTACACAGTGTGTGTGTCAGTAGTTCTACACAGTGTGTGTGTCAGTAGTTCTACACAGTGTGTGTGTCCTGGCTCAACAGAGCAGTGACAAAAGAGGGAGACCACACATAGTCGGCAAACATTATTCAAAGGAGTTTAATTAAATTACTAAATTAAACAGTGTTAGACCTGTGAGGTGTGTGTGTGTGTGTGTGTGTGTGTGTGTGTGTGTGTGTGTGTGTGTGTGTGTGTGTGTGTGTGTGTGTGAAGGAAGGTGATGGTGTCACGTTGGCCTCCTTTGCACACTTTGTTCTTCTTTATCTGAAAATTGCGGCATCTTTTAAAAGAAATGTGACTACATGTGTCAATAAATGTTTGCACACTGACTCAAAGTCTCTTCGACGAGCTCTGAGGAGACTTTACAGGAACAACTTAAAGCACTGTGCTGCCGTGGTTAGCGCTGTTTCCTCACAGCCTTAGACTTAGACAACTTTATTTATCCCAGAGGGCAATTCACAGTCCACCCAGACAATGCATACATTTACAAACAAACAAACAACAGCAGGAGATTAATCAGAGACAAGGGATCAGAGACAACGAGGAGGTTCCTGGTTTGAATCCCCGTCTGACAGGAGCCTCTCTGTGTGGAGTCTGCATGTTCTCCCCGTGCGTGTGTGTGCTCTCTTCGTCTTCCTCCCACAGTCCAAAGACATGCTCGTTAGGTTAGGTATGAATGTGAGTGTGTCTGGTTGTCTGTCTCTATATGTCAGCCCTGTGATTGACAGGTGATCAGTCCAGGGTGTAACCCCGCCTCTCACCAGCCGCTATTGGCTCCAGCCCCCTGTGACCCTGAACGGATGAAGCGGTATAGATAATGGATGCTTGGATGGAACAAGCCAGCTGTTTTTTTCTTTTTAAACAAATTTTAATAATGCATCGGACCTTTATAACGCTTTTCTAAATACTCAAAGGAGCTTAACAAAGAATAACAACAAAACAAAAACAGCGAAGATATTGACTTTATTAATTCCAGAGGGGAAATTCTGGTTTACACTCCATTATTGAGAGACATGCTTCTTACACACATAGTCCCAGATTACACACATAAGCACAAACGGGACCTGAAGGTGGAATATACATACTATACATTCAAAATACGGTACAAGTAGAAAAGTAGCTCTAACCTGAAGCAAACAGTAGAGGCGACACTTTTGTAGTTAATTAAGGATCAATATTTACAAGATGTTGCTGTTGTTTTCTTTTTTATTGCTGTTGTTTTTGTTATTGTATTATTTAGAATCTGTCGCTCATTTATATATTTATTTATAACATTGAAAAGATACAAATATAAACTACAAAAAAATATTTTCATATTATATTACACTTTATAATAATCTTAATTTACAAATATAATACAAGCTAGCTGAACAGATGGAGAGGGGTTGGGATTCAATAAGTGTTTACTTCTTCCCATGTCACTTAAAATAGCTGAATTATACTTTCCACTGTTTGTAATTATTGTTTATTTTCTGTTTTTTTTTTTATGTTCACCTTCGTTTTACGTTACATGTTCAGAATAAACAAATCAAATCCAAATCAGTTAAATCAGATCAAATTTAACAGATGTTAATATTTTCAATCTTAGCTACAGTTATTTAATGTATGATGTAAAATGTGACAGTGGAAGCAATGAAGCTTATTAAAGGTCACATATGATGCTAAATCCTCTTCACCATGTTCCTCTAACTCTAATATATGTCTCTAGTCTGTCTACAAACTCCCCAATGATGAGAAAAGTCCATCCTCTCCGTCTTCTGCCTGCTCCACTTTTCAGAAAATGTATGCTCAAACAGGCCGTTTGGAGATTTTCCCTTCATGACATCACAAAGGGCAGTAGCCCCTCCCCCAGGTGGGTGACACTCCCACAGCTAGGTGTTTGTTCTGCCCTCTGAGTCTGCCTTCTCACAGTAAACAATAGGACATGGAGCGAGAAAGACCGAGTACACCCTAGACCTTCCAGAGAGGGGGCGTGGTCAGACACAGCTCATTTACATATTTAAAGGTACAGACACAGAAACAGCCTGTTCTGAGTAGGGCTGAAATAGAGGGGTTTATTGACATGATCAAATACAGGATCAGAGTGGATTTAGAACAAGAAACTTCACACACATGTTTTGAGGAGCTCTGAGACTTATTGACACTGAAGAAGAAGAGGAGGAGAATATGTCACCTCTTACGGCCAATCATCTTGGGCATCGCTCACATCAGAGCTCACATCTCTCGAGGTGATGAGTAGATGACATTGTCAGATCGTCCACTGGGGGCGATGTTGAGCGAGGCGGTCGTAGCATTGGTAAAATTCAACTCAGAGTAGGTGATGTTACCAGAGTCATCTTCAGCCTGGGTAAAGAAAGACAAAATAAAAATAAGTCAGCAATGAATCTGTTGCAGAGACAAGTGGTCTCTGTCCTTTCTCTAAAATAAAGATTTAAAACAGTGCGTAGAATCCATACTAAAAGTCGTCTTTTGTGTGGCTTGGTGGGTTAGATGACTCAGTCCTTGAACATCCGTGTCCATGTAACAATAAAGCTTCAGTAGATCGACATACACTCATCCTATAAGAACTTGAACGCTAACAAAACACCAGGCTGGGTGTTTCCCTCTGTAGGCTGCTCAGGCTGATTACCTCCTCATCTACTTGTACCTTCCCCCAAAACACCATAAAACGTGTGCCACACACAAAAACTTACTGCATGATGAGACCTGGCTCTAGTGACAGTGCTGTATTCATGGTCGATTTCTACTCCATTCGGTTTGGAGTGCACGGCGTGTTCGTAAGGAAGGGATCCTCTCCGTTTGTCCTCCCTCAGGTCCTCATACGCTCGGTTGGTCTGCAGGACAAACATTACATTTTGATTGTAGTTAAAAGAGCTTGTTCAATAAACTCCAGTAATTATAATCATGGCTGAAATGTCCTCACTCTCACCTCTGTGACAGATGTGAACTCTGTTTCCATTGGAGTTTCTAAAAAAGCAGAATGTGTTTAGAGAATGACACAAGACTGAAACACACAGTATTTAATTGGACCCATCACTGATAAACACGTTCTGCTTTGCCTTAAAGGCTTTATGTGATTTGTTGATCCAGCAGATGTCGCCCTTGAGCACCAGCATGAAACCAAAACAACTTGCAATGCATTGTTGTGTTAGCATGCTAATGCTAGCGATCTTTATTATGCTCGTATCTTCACACTGCATGTAAATTTACCTGAAATGAGCGTGATCTAGAAACACAGTTAAGCAGTGAGTACAGTATGTTATTCTTCTTTTCTCGAGTCCCTCAATTAAACAACTTTTATACGTGAGGGGAGGAGTCAGCCGGCCGTCCAGCTATCGGCTGTGAACGCTCTCTACTCATTTTTTTTTTCTCATTTAAAGTTTTTTTATTTAAGTTCAACTTTAAAGACAGCTTACAGTATGCATTAACATTTTTTCTTTTTGTTCAGATATTTGCAACATCCGACAAAAAATAAAATAAAATAATAAAAAAAATAAAAATAAAAAAAAGACAGAAAAAATATATAAATAAATAAAAACAGACAGCGAACAACAACAAAAACTAATCACAGGACCATAACATGTGGAAAAAGGTTCCCTTAAATCGATTACAATGCCAACACAGATCAGACTTAGATGAGTCCATCTTATTAAGTCGAACCGGTGTAAAGTATAGTCGATGTATACAATGATAATTAATCATCTTGTTTTTAACTGATTTGGAAACTGAGTGGAGTGTTTTCCAAATATGTTCCCATGTCTGAGGATCCAGGGATTTACCTATATCTAACTCCCAGTTCCGTAGTGTTGCTCTCCAACAATCATCTAGTGATCTATTTAAAAGTTTGTACACCTTGGAAGCAATTTTCTCTCCTTCACTTATTGTTTTCTTTAGAGTTATTTCTGTTTCGTTCATTTTGGGTATGGTTACTGCCTCTCCTAAGTGCCTAGACAGCTGAGACCTTATTTGCATGTATAACAGAAAGTCTTTATTCTCTATGCCACATGTGGTTTTCATCTCGTCGAACGTTTTCAGTTTTCTGCTATGCAAAGTTCTCAAGTCATCTAGTATAGCAATTCCTTTAGCCTCCCAGTTGTCATTCCTCATAGGCCTACCATCCAGAGTAAACCCGTAGTTGTTCCAAATGGGAGCATTTGGGGATGTTTTTGCTGTAAAGCTCAAAGACTTCTGTAAAACTTTAGCGATGTCACAGGAAAACTGGATTAATGGATTGCCTATAATTCTACAGGAGGGGCTATACCAAAGGCCCTGCATAGATATCTTTACCTTTAATTAGTTTATGATTTCATGTTCTATATTTTCCCATCTTGTTTTTCTTAAATCTGAGCCATAACCCCAGCTAAGAGGATAGCGTGAGTTGAGGGCAAGGTAATAATTGTATACATCTGGTAATCCAAGACCACCTGACTTCCTGTCAATATACAACTTCTTTCTGCTTACCCTTGGGGTCTTATCTCTCCAGATAAAATTATGGAAGAGCTTATTTATTTCTTTAAAGAGTCCCCTATCTACAGAGAGTGGTAGCGCTACAATGAGGTAAGTTATTCTAGGTAACACATTCATTCTTAATGTGTCTATCCTTCCCCATATAGTCAGTGGCAGAGACTTCCATCTCTCTAAGTCATGGTTTATGTTGGTTATAAGATTTCTAAAGTTAATATACATATATCAGATTTCAGAGTTACTCCTAAGTATTTCATTCCTTCAGGGGACCATTTAAATGGTAAGTTGTTAATGTGTATCTTATGGCAATGAACGTTCAGTGGTAGGGCTTCGGACTTTTCCCAATTAATCTTGTAACCTGACAGAGTTCCAAATTCCTTTACAGTGTCTAAAGTGTACTTAAGGGAATGTGGTGGGTCAATTAACGTGAGAAGAATATCATCAGCAAACAGGCTAATCTTCAGTTCTGTTAAGGGGGCTGTAATACCTCTAATATTTGGGTGGGTCCTGATCATCTCTGCCAAGGGTTCCAGGGATAAAACAAAAAGCAAGGGGCTCAATGGGCACCCTTGTCGGGTACCTCTTTTGATTTCAAATGGGTCAGATAGTAAGCCATTGGTAGTGATTCTGGCTTTAGGCGCGGTGTATATCATTGAGACAAGTTTCAGAAAGTTGGGTCCAAAACCGTATTCCCTAAGAGTCCTAAAAAGGTAATCCCACTCTATGCGGTCAAATGCCTTTTCAGCGTTGAGGGATACAGTAATGACTGGTTCAGTTATTAATTTGGCATAATGCATTATGTGGAATAATTTCCTCATGTTATCCCCTATTTGTCTTGATTTCACAAACCCTATTTGATCTACGTGAACAAGCTTAGGTATAATTTGGTCCATTCTCCTAGCAAGTATTTTAGCATATATCTTTCCTTCAGAATTAATCAGAGAAATTGGTCTGTAACTGCCACACTGTAAAGGGTCTTTGTTAGGTTTGGGTAAAAGTGTTATAAGTAATGATTGAGTTGTTTCTGGCAGGCGGCCTCCATCCTTAGCTTCGTTGAAAAGCTTTTGAATCTTGCCAGCAAGCTGGTCCACAAACATTTTGTAAAAGTTAATACTATATCCATCATCTCCTGGGGTCTTGCCACTACTCAGACATTTGATTGCATCTCTGATTTCACCTTGGGAAATGTCCTCTTCCGATAGTTTAGGCATCTTTATTTTACTAAAGAACTTATCTAATTTATCTGGGGACGTTGTAATTTCGGGCAAATACAAGTTCTTATAAAATTTCTGAAATCTATTATTTATTTCCTGAGGTGACTTCAGCACCGCTGCATTTTTAGATTTAATTGCAGGGATGATCCGAGAGGCTCGAGCTTTCTGCAGTGTATAGGCTAAAAGTTTTCCAGCCTTATCACCATTTTCAAAGTATTTAGCCTTCAATCGGTACAAGTCAAATTCTGTTTTTTTGTTTAATAGATCTTTGACTTCCAGTTTAACCTTCATCAATTCCGTATATATCTGGTCATCTTTTGGTTTGGCTTTATGGGCTGATTCTAATCTGGATAACACCTCTGTTAATTTTTGCATTCTTGCTGCCCTTTCTCTCTTTTGTTTGGAGGCAAAGCTAATTAACCAGCCCCTACAAGTAACTTTGTAGGCTTCCCACACTGTCGAGAAGCAGTTTACACTTTTCTCATTAGCCTCAAAAAATAGCTGTGTTTCAGTGTTAATAAATTCGACAAGCTTCTTGTTAGCTAGAAGTGAGTTGTTAAGCTTCCATAATGATGGTTTGATGAAATATGTGGAGGGGGAAAATGACAGAGTTTTTGGGCAGTGATCGCTGTAAACCATGTTCAATATGTCAGTAGACCATACATTGGAGAGAACATTCTGTGTAACCAAAAATGCATCAATTCTTGAATAGGATTTGTGCCGATTCGAGTAAAAAGTATAATCCCTGTTTTCTGGATTCAGTAATCTCCAAGCATCGAAGAGACCCATGTTTTTACAAAAATCATTGAGTGCTGCCGAGGATGCTCGGTCAGATGGTAGCGGTTTCTCACTTCTGTCCATTTCAGGTTTAAAAACAGAATTAAAGTCCCCTCCTACTATAATAGGTTTCCCTGAATATTCTGTAAATATAGTACTGAGTTTACTAAAGAAGCCTACAGAATCTCCATTTTGACCATATACACTTGCAATGACAATGGGTTCATTATATAGTAATCCTTCAATGATAACATATCTACCTTCAGTGTCAATATTAGAACTTTGAATGACAAATTAAGTTTTTTTATGAATAAAGATAGTCACGCCTCTGTTTTTACTGTTAAACGATGAGTGATACACCTGTCCAACCCATTTTTGTTTCAGTTTACTAGCTTCTGTTTGTGTTAGGTGGGTCTCTTGTAGTATAGCTATTTCAATTTGGCTAGATGACATAAAATCCTTGTACGTTTAGTTGGATTATTCAGCCCACCTACATTCCATCCAGTGACTGTGATACTATTTAATACTGATGTGTTTGTTATTCGTGACATGAGTAGTCAGTTGAAAACATTTTGTAATATTTCCCTCAATCTTAACCCCCAAAAATACTTTATAAAGTTTGACCTCACATTTAAGACATACAAATACAAAACTAATAACACAATCTTCACCGTTAGAAGACAAAAGGACATCTAAACATGAAAGGAACAGTAAGCTGCAAACAGCAGTTGCAAAAATAACCAACTGGTTGTAAAAATTAAAAATAAACCTATGTAGGTCTGTAAATGCCACTGATAAGTCTAGGCAACCTGAACTTGTCTCCAGTTAAAGTGGAACAGATATTAAACCCTTTGGGATTCAGTTGGTTAAAAATTAAGAAGAAAGAGAGAAAGAAAAGGCAAGAGCTATCATGGCTGGGTTTTGCATACCAAGGAACCAGCTATTAATAAAGTAAACAATTATCTCAAGAATAGATCAAGTGTCGCTATGTAAGGTTAAACTGCAAATACGATTTTAATGTTAAAGTGCAGTTATTATATGACGTCAGCCCACGTGAGAGCGTCTATTCAGGTTCCGGGGCCATTGTTTACCTCGGAGTTGTACTCACATGGCTACCGCTGTTCATTCAACTTCTAAGTGCAGTTCATTCAAAGCGGATATCGGGAAGCAAACTTGAGAGGCCGGACTTAGCTTCTTTTGCATTGTCGTAGTTGTACTTCTTTTTATCCATGATGACCACAAGCTTTGCAGGAAATAGCAGCCGGAACGGAAGATCGACACGGTGTAGAGCTGTTTTAATGGGATTGTATTCTGCCCTCCTCTGGGATACGGTTACAGAGTAATCTTGAAAGATGAAGAAACGCCGCGACTTGTATGACAATTCCCCCTTCCTTCTGGAGGCATGGAGGATGTTCTCTTTATCCTGGAAGCGGAGCAGGCGGATGATAATGGGGCGAGGTTTCCCGTTGCTATCCCTTGGTGGTCCCACTCTGTGCGCCCGCTCCAGCTCAGGGCCCGGTTGGTCAGCGGAGATGTCTAGCGCAGTTTTTAACAGGTTAGTGGCGAACACTTTAATATCGCTCCCCTCCATGTTTTCTGCGATGGTCACAATCCGAAGATTGTTTCTTCGTGAGTAATTTTCCAAGTAATCCATTTTTTGGCTCAGCTGATCAACCTGCGATTCCAGCGTTTTATGGCTTTCTGAGATTGGAGAAAGCTTGTCTTCTACATCTGAAATTCGCTGTTCTGCGGTAGTGATGCAGTTGGTAAGAGAAGCTAGTTCAGACTCGATTCTTGCTGTTGTTGCCTGTATTGTTGGTAGATGGATGTTTATTTTTTCTTGGACTGAGGTGATCTCTTGTATGATCTTTTCGGCCCACGGGGGCAAGGTTCTTCTTCAGCTTGTTCGTTCACCTTGTCTTCCAGAGAATGTCCATCGCCATCTTTGCTTGGCGACTTGCTAGCTAACTTGTTGAAAGTTTGGCTCGGTTTTGTTCCTCTTCTTGATGAGCGTTCGTTGTTTGCCATGTTTCCAATCTCAGTTCAATCAAATAAGAGTTTATAGAATAGTTTTTCTGTAGCTCGTTGAAAGGGCTTTGTTATATATTTTTAGCGAAAACTGGAGAGCTCGTTCGAGAAGCGTCCTACTCCACCAGGATCATCACGAGACGCTCTCTCATTGAAGACGCTGTCACTTAGAAAAAAAACACTAGGTGGATATGAGGAATAAAAAATATCCAAAGATTGGAAAGCCAAAAAAACAGCCCGGGCCGTCTGACCAAAAAAGGAGCTATGTATTGCATCCCTAACATGTACCATAGGAAACAGGAAGTTACGGTAGTTAGGTTGCCTGCATGTGTAAGTTTGTCCGTGTGTGTGTAAATCCTGTTGCCTCACCCTTTGGTTTTGAAAACTTCCTCCTGCAGAATATAATCGTAACGAGAGATAACAGGACAACCAGGGCGACCAGGGTCAGTCCTGCGTACAGCAACATTTCTGCAGAAAGAGGGTTGGGAAAGGGGGGATGGGGGTTGTTTTACTTTGACACGTCTTGGTTGTTGATGACATTAGTTGTGGACTGTCAGGTACAAAAGGCCTCTTAGATTCTCCCTCATAGTGTGTAATAATAAGTCTTTGTAACAGTTTCTTCTACTTTCTTTACTTAGATTCTCGTGTGTTCCTGTTAGACGCCAAGCTAATTTTAGGGTGCACTCACATTACGGGTGGGCTTAGGCTGGACTTGGTGAGTTTAACTGTCTGTGCTCAAAACTATGACAAGTTGTTTTTATATTGTTCATTTCATTTTAGCCAGACTGAAGGACGACAGACTCCCTGAAATCAAAGTTCATCTTTCCCTTCAGAACATATTCTGGTGACTTTTTAAATTGTTTATTTATTTTGAATCATGTATGATATATTTATTTATATATATAAAAAATAGATCCTGAACCTCCTCCTGGTTCTGATGTGTGAGAGTTTGACACATGCAGTGTCTGGAAGTACCTGTTGTTCTTGTTGTTCCAGACTGCTTGGTGGGTATCGGGATCTCAGCTCCATGGTTGCTCGGTGTTGTCGCTGCTAAAGGGACTGATGTTGAGGGTATTAAATTACGTTTTGGTGTTGTTGGGACTGTGAACAAAAAAAGCATATGAACACGTATGAAGGAATCCTGATGAGACGACCTGTACACTACTCTGTGTGTATTTTTTAAATCACAGTGATGGGAAGATAAAAATATCAGCAGCTGTCTGTGAAAACTTAAAGATGCTCTCGACTGACATACAAAACATTTTCATTTCACTTTAAGAAGAAACTCACCGTCTGCGACAAAGACCTCGAATGTGTACGAAAGTTCACGGAACCCATATATTGTCAGACCACATGTGTACCGTCCTGAGTCAGACTGGGTCAGCTGTGAAATGCTCACATACACAGATCCTCCAGTTTCAAATTGTACATATCTGATGGAATATCTGCCAGTCTGCACTGTTTTATCAGTTGTTTCAATTAAATTGTCCAAACATCTGTCCTTGCAGAAGAATGCACTTCTCAAATCGAGAGTTGAAAAGAAGAAGCATTCTGCTGTGAAATTCCCTCCAGTTGTTGCTCTGACAGGTTCTCTTCTGTTTCCTTCCAGCAGTACTGTGAAAAGAGAAGAGGAATAAACTCTTACAAAGTGTATGAATCTATTTCAGTCAATGACGAGGTGACGCCTGCAAGCTAGTTCAGGCTGTTACGTTTTAAATCGCCTTCAAGAAATCACAACAATATACAGTCACATACTGGGAGCTGCCCAGTTGAACCAGTCTGTAAAAGAAGTCTGTGGCCTTCAGTAGTTTATCAGTTGTTGTCATAGTTCAGCTCTTCAGGAAACATTTTCAGGGTTTTTAGTACAAACTTACCGTCTACAACGATGATTTCAATGTCCGTGTATGAAGCTGATGATAAAGATGAACCGAGACCACACCTGTAGCGTCCGGAGTCAGACTTGGTCAGCTGTGAGATTTTCACAGAAACATCTCCGGATCGAGTTTTTTGTCTCTTCTTCCATTCAATGCTGAATCTGTCTTCTTGAGCACTGACACGAGATGTTTTTATGATGATGTCCTCCTGTCTACATTCTTCTCTGCAGAAAAACTTTCTAGTTGTTTCTTGAGAAGTCGAGCATTCGACTTCCACATTTTCTCCTTCAAATACTGTGTAGAAAGTTACTGCTTCTGCACTAATGACACCAAAGTTTTCATTCTGCAGAGCTGTTAAGAGATGAAGAATCAGAAGTTACTGTCTTTACATCCTGTAACCACATGTTCCTGATGCACGTTTAACTCTTACCTTTGACGTTTGCATCTATAGCTGTAATAAGTAAGAGTAATAAATGTTGTACAGTAAAACCCCAAACTTTCAACAGCAACTTCTGTTGAAATCATAATTCCCATTTTTCAAAAAAGAGAAATGACAAAGCTCTTAAAGATCTTTTCACACATTTCAAAGGCTATCAAAGCCCTTGAGGCTCTTTTGACACATTTTTAAATAGTTTTGTAAGAGTCCATAATGTTAACCACTTTTCAATGCAATCATTCCAAAATGATTTAGAAAGCAGCAGGTCCGTTGTGCAAGTCATTCCCACATTACTGCACTGTTTGTTTTTTAAATGCTAGTGGTGATGTTTTGGCTGTGATACTCAGGTTTCTATAAGTATGTAGTTTTGATATTAACCTTTAAAATCTCCTTCATGCTGCATATTGTTGAAACTTAAAATCAGGATAAAGTACCCAAACATGTTAACTCAGTTACAGGCAGAGCACGTCAACATTTCAATATGTCACTTAGAGAACTCAACTTTGGAAGACACTCATTGGTTGTGAATTACTCGGACAGCTGAAGCCTCATTTTAACTTTATAAACGTTAAAATCATTTGTCCACATGAGGACTAACTAACCCCACACTGAGGGTCATCGTTCCTCAACAAATGATTACAGTAAGAACTGTGTATATACTGTATTTACTGTATTATTTAAGGACATAATCATCATGTTGAACCATTAAAACACTCAGTAACCAATAATAAACCAATTAAAAAACAACAAATAACAACAAAGAAAGTGACTAAAAGAAAATAGAAAAATACTCACAGAGGAAGAAGAAGAAGATCACAGTGTGATGGACTTCCATGTTTGAGACTCTAATGATTTTCTACTTCTGCTTCTTCTTCAAACCAGGAACTTCTCGTTTCTTGTTGGCACACCTCCTCTAAAGAACACACACACACACACACACACACACACACACACACACACACACACACACACACACACACACACACACACACACACACACACACACACACACACACACACAAGCCTTTGCTTGATAATGTTTGTTGCTTAGATTAGTTTATAATAGTTATTTGTTTGATTAAGTTCATTGATTTTGGATTGGTGTTGCTTTGTTTAAATAAATTCTGTTATAATTTAAGAGAGCAGTTGTTTGTGGTTACTGGTGTATTTACATTGTCATATAAGCTGGGTGCGAAGGCTTTGAGTACGGATTTCACGCCTTCAATTTATTAAATATAGTTATTAATTATTAATAATATTAGTAATTAAATAACTAATTTGAGACTGATTTGAGTGATATTTTGGTTATATTTACCGGATTACAGGGTGGTGCCCCAAAACGAGATTAAACATAGTTTATTGATATTTTATTTATATTATTAATAATTAAATATAATTATTAAAGAATATAACCAAAGTTGACTTGATACGACCCCAACAGTGGGCTGTCCTTTTTTGGATCCCACAATGACATAAAGACAAAAACACAAACACACCAACCACACTCCACACGCACGCACACACACACACACACACACACACACACACACACACACACACACAACACACACACACACACACACACACACACACACACACACACACATTCCTTCACCCGGGTCCGTATGTGCAGGCGCAGATGAGACGCCAGCGGACTGCAGCAGGTCATTTCCGACCCGACAGCGCGTCAGATTCGTCGGTAAAATGCTGAGATTATCCAGTTCGTAGAGACTTCATGGACACAAAGACGACTGCACCTGCACCACTACCTGATGTGTGAGTCAGTGAGGAGTTCACGCCAAAGTCTTCTAAAGCCTCACCCGATCTTCTTCTTTTTGGTGTTTTCTTGCGGTTAGCAAACAATGTTTTGATGCATTACTGCCACCAACTGGTATGAAGTGTGGATCAGGAACTACGTTCACTTGATCTTTTCTTTTTCAACAACTTTATTTAAATCCCAAAGAAGTTAAAAAAACATTATCCCAGTTTTAATTCAGTGTTCCTGTTAAATGTTCATCTGCCAAATATATTTTAATAAAGCGTTACCATTAGGTTTACATCTAAATAACCATCCTGCACTCAGGGGCCTTTACTAATTTTTCTAATAATTAAAAAGCTTTTCCAAGCTCAACATCCAATCAAAATCAACCCAATGTTATGTCCCGTTGTGTATGTGACTTCCTGTGCTTCTGCAGCCAGCCTCTAGTGGACACTCGAGGAACTGCAGGATTCTGCACTTCATGCATCAGCTTCATTTTTCAACACCAGAGGTTACTCCTTGAGTGAAAACCATAAACTGTAAATATAAATGGACGCAGCCTGAGTGACGTCACCCGTCTGTTCCTGCAGGGGGCGCTGGAGTTCCATCGATGGCGGTCTCCATGCTGGAAATGCTGTCTCAGTCTAACTTTCAGTCAACCTAACGACAGGCTGAGAGCTGCAGCTGAGGCGGGTTTTAAACCTCCTGACAAACCGTTACACCGCGCCCACCTGTCAATCAGGTCAGCTGCACGCCTTATTGTGAATAACTCTTATCCTTCATCAAATCAAAACTGATGAGTCATCAAAACATTCACCCCCCGTACAGTGTGTGTCCATGGAGACATGAGCTAATCACACCTATTTGGTTTTTTGAACCAGGCTGTAAACATGTTCATCTCTGCTGTAAAAACAGGCTTTTTAGAATGGGTGTGTATGTGACTTCCTGTGCTTCTGCAGCCAGCTTCTAGTGGACACTCCAGGAACTGCAGGATTTTACACTTCATGCATCAGCTTCATTTTTTAACACTGAATGTGTCCGCTTGATGAAACCTCAGTCACATACAAAGCACATCAGGGACGCAGGAGGTACTGGGTGCAGAGAGGTCTGACTCATAGGGCGATCTGAGCAGAGACAAAAGTTAGCATTGAAACCAGTGAAAACTGGAACGCAAGTTTGATCACAGAACCATCCCAAAAAACCCAAAAGAACAAACACTGATAATAAATAAAGAACTTTATTTTTTAATATGCTGTAAATATATCCAGAAAACATGTTTGACAAACATAATTGTACACATTAACAACATATACTTTATTTTTCATACTTGGACTGATATTTCAAGTATGCAGATCTGTACGAGCAGATACGTTGCAGTGCTTTCACGGCAGATGGAAGAAGAAACCGCATAGTGAGTAATTTGGAAGGATTGATCATGCAGTGCTGTATGTTACAGACAACTTTGGTATTGTGTCCACCAAAACAAAGCAGTTTTTTTTTAAATTTCACTGACAAAAGCAGAGAATACAGCGTCTGCATGGAGTAGCTGCAAATAAAAAATGTTCCCTTTCAGCTCCTAAAGTTTTTCATTTGAAAAGAAACTGATCTCTCCGTTTCTGCTTTATTCCCACGATTATTACTCTCACTGATTAGAAGTGCTGACAATTTGATTTAATATCAACAGTCACATCCTATAAATTAACCCTAAACGCATCACCGTCAGTAATCAGCTGTTGAAGTTTTTTTTCTGGAATGATCTGAAGCCAGCCTCTCATTTTCTAATTAGAGTAACGCTTATAAACATAATTAGGGCCCGAAGCACTGACAAGTGCGTAGGACCCTCTTGGAATGAAAATGATTATTATTTTTATTTTTATTCCGCCACTTTGCGGGCACTTTTGAGGGCCTGAATGTGCCCGAAAACTCAGCAAAATTTGCACGGTCATCGGGTCTGGCGAAAAATTTGATATTTTGGCGTTTTCATGAACGAAGTTTGCAAATTAGCTCAACGGCGCCCCCTTTTGATTTTTACAAATAGGTTTTTTTGCCTACATACATCAATCTTTTTTACATGTTAGAGCAGGCCGAGACCTACAAAAAAGTCAATGGAAGTCATTGTCTAATTTCAACAGGAAGTCCGCTATGATTTTTTTGAATGTTTAAAAAGTCTGTATTTTCACCGTTTACAGGGTACCTGTTTGAAAGCATCCGCCCGAGAGCGTTTATCTGAACAATTCAAGTTTGGTGTCAAATGAAAGTAGACAAGTTGAAGAATAAAAGTTGTGCTCAAATCATGAGGTTTGGAAATAAGGCGTGGCCGTGGCGTGATGTCAAAGTTTGATGTCGTTTTTTTGCATCACGCCAAAAACAGTAAATGCTTATAACTCTACTATGCAGTGTTCAATCATCACGACAAAGAGCCCGCCCTGAACACATCCATGATTGAATTTTTTTAATTACTCATAGCACCACCTGTTGACAACAGGAGGTCACTCCGTCTGAGCACTGTTTCCTTTGCACTAGCCATTGCTACACAGTTGCTCCAAAGACCTTGACAATACGACCTTCACAAGCACAAAGTCCTGCGTGAAAAGCTGTTCCCTTACGGACGCGTTGTTCGCCATCAAACAGGAAGTAGTTTTTTCACGGGCTTAACATAGTCGTACAGACCTGAAACTTCATACATATAATCCTGGTACTAAACTTAAACATTTTATATTGTTTAAGTAAGTGGGCATGGCTTAATGGCTCAGTGGCGCCCCCTTCGAATTTTCAAAATTGCCTTCCCATAGAGGTTTTTTTGAAGTACAGTCATGAAAATTGTTACGCATATTAAGCTTGTCAGGATGGACAAAAAATCCTCTTGCAGCGTTTCAAAAAACCCAACAGGAAGTCCACAAATTAAAGTTGTATTTCACAATAATGGCCCAAAATCATGATTTCAACCTTCCTATTTGAACGAACTTGGCTGAGGGTGCCCATCCGATCGGTGCAAACTCAGTGTCAGTGCGTTCTACACAGGCTCAGCATATCTCGTTGTGCTCCGCACAATAATTCGTCAAAGGGCGTGGCCGTGGCGTGTGTTTAAACTTTTTTGTGCGTCTCTTGTGGAAGTGGCTGTAACTCTCCCGAGCTAACGGCCAACTATCTAAAACCATTATGTTACATTAGTCAACCAAGCAATTTCACAGAATAGCTCGCGCTAACGGCTTACCAGTTAGCTAGCAGTCATTTCGTTAGCTAGCTATCGCTAATGGTTAACTTGTTGTCTAATGTTAGTGTGCCCTCAGCTGACATAAATTTTACTATTTTTCGGATGGCGTCGCGGGCTCAATTCTAAAGCTAGAGGGGATAAACATGACATGCTATCATGTCGGGAAGAGGGGTTAATAACGCTCTAAAGTCAAGTTAGTTTCAAATGTCTCATGCGTGACAGGCTACAGGGCCCGCTCTAAAATTAAGGCAATGCTGCCATCTTGTGGTGACTAGAGAGGCTGATGTAGCTCAACACATCCATGATTTAAATAAGAGCTGTAAAATTAAAACAATGCTGCCATTTTGTGGTGACTATCCATGATTGAAATATTTAAATTTAGAGTGTGGTTCCAATTTGTTCCACAAGGAGGCGTAACCTCCAAGTGAGACAGCTCAGTGTGCTCGGTAGCCCTTGTCTTCAGACCATAGACTGTAAAAATAATGGACGGGACAAGGTCCCCAGTCTAGTGAAGCTATTATTTTTAGAGCTCCCCCTACTGACTGGCTGCAGTATAGGTCATAAACCCCGCCTCCTCAATGACAACAGATGGGATGTGAGTCAAACTGTAAAGCTAAAATACTCGTCACATCATTTTTTTCCAAACCTAAACTCTGCTGTGATCATTAGTTATTATCACCCTACATTGTGTTCAAGTGCTCATTTTTCTGTGAAGTTTGTTTTAAATAAGTTATTGGAGGTTGAAAAACTGGATTTTACATCATATTTGACGATGATTGACAGCCGCCGATCTTGCGTAGCTCTCTCCGTGAATAACAAAAGTTACGTAGTGAAGGAAAGCCGAGACGCCATTGAATTTTTC